AGCAGCAAGAGGCAAAAGCAGGGTGGCAGAGCCCCGTAGGCAGCTGGGACACAGCCCAACACAATTGTGTGAGTGGCATCTCTACTACCATTCCCATGGCAGGAGCGAGCAGTGGGTGCTGGCACATCCCCATCCTCAACTCCTGACCTGCTCCCAGAACACTCCTGTGCACCCTAAGCTATGCTGCCATGGCACAGGGCTCTCTGCTCCCAGCATTCCTCCCTCCCAATGCCTGGCTCCAGTGAGGGGGACACCAAACCCCTCACACTGTGCCCCTGGCCAAGCTCCCGTGCACCGCACTGCTCTGACCTGTCATGGTTCAGGAGACCAGAGTCCCACATCACCTGGGAAAAACCTCCTAACAACCAACCCCATTAATGGTTCTGACTGCTATTAAGGATAAAATCATCTGAGAGGGAGTGAAGCAAACAACACGGGCAGAGCGATAGGGCAGTGAAATCCAAGCAAGGTTAGAGAGGACTCTGAGCATCTCCCCTTGGCTGCCCTGCTCCCTGCACATGCACCTCCTTTTCAGTGCTGACAATCCACTGTGGTTTTCTTCTGCCTATTCAACCTCTGCAAGAGACTGAAAAGAACTAGCAAATAACTGCAAGGCCTGTTTTGAAAAACCAGGCCCTTATTAAAATGAGGGCTGGAGACAAACGGTGCCTCTGCTGTCAGCCAGCAGACACGCTCATTTTAGACATGTTTATAATTAAAGTCATCTAAGAGCTGCCGATTTTCATCATTTAACTTATCAAAGGTGCCTCTAATTCAGCTGGCTTCATACGAATCAGCTGGTACAAGGAATGGAGAAGGAAAGTGTGAGACGACATGCAAATGCCTTCTGAAGCCTCCTCTTTAATTCAACTAACACTGCACCCTGCCAGCCTGGACCTCTGCCACCCGCTTGTCTCGGAGCTGGCTCCCACTGGGAGGGTGTAGTATGGGTGGGAAAGAGGCAGATGAGCTTTACGTAAAGCCCTAACATTTGTGAATTGAAATGGAAAGGAAAAACCAACCTAACAGCACTGTCTCCTTTGGTGTTATTAGTCCTGCAAAGCCCAGAAACTACCATCACAAGGACACTATCTTATGGATGTAAATAACATGCATGCTTCCAACACAACGTTTCATCCTGATGACCCAGAGCCAAATATGAGGCTGCATCTTCACCCCAGTGTGCCGCAGGTAGAGCTGAGCATCCCTCCACATCCTCACCCATCCTAAAGGACCTCCCCATGAGGGTGTTCAGCTCCAAGCTGGTCCCACTGCTGTGGCCGCTGGCAGCCACATCATGGAAAAGGGGGAAACCAAACAAGAGCCAAACTGAACCATCAACACATGGCTAGAAACTGTGAAGGACACCAGAGGTATCGATAAAGAACACAGGAAGGTTGGACTTTGCACTCCAAGACTGCACTTGTAATGAATACACACTTACCGCAGGATAGAATGGGAATGTGTGTATGAGTTTCTGTGTGTGTATCTCTATAAGACACATGAAAGGAAAAACCCATCAAAGGGAGGGTAATAGCTCTTAAATTATCTCTGTTGCTGTATGTTTTAAGAAGTTTGTTTTCAAATAACCAGTACCAATTTACACATTAGCAAAAAAAATGGATTTAAAGGATGTATATATAGATATCTATTTCAAAATAGGAAAAAGATCTGCTGGTGTGTGAGATGCTCCCTGCAGACTTGCCTGTCTCAGCTTGCAGCTATGGAGTTAAAAAAAACAGGAGAAAAAGAAGAAAAGGAAGGAAAGAGGGGGAAAAAGTAAATCTGGAAACGAAATGTACATACCTGGGAACTGATAGCTGTAACTTGGGGCAAATCCGGGGTATCCTCGGCCATACGTTGCAACAAAATTTGGGTAACCTTGATCAAATGTAGAAAAACAGAGAGAGAAAGAGGAGTTTGAAGATTAATGAAGGGCTTGGGTTTTTTTCTTTTTAAATACAATGCAAAATGACATGGAGGATGGGTGAGGCGATGCTACAGAAGGTATTAAACCCCAAGATTTATTCTGCTCATGCCAAACTGCCAGAGGTTTGGGAATTATCTTGAACAGAAACCCCTGGAGCTGGCTGCCCTCCCTGCTCGCTCGCTGCTGGGCTCTGTGCACGAGACCTGTCACTCAGGTAATTAACATGCACTCTGGTATCTCAAGTCCAAGGACTGTGCATACTTGTTAGCTGGAAGAGTAAATGCCAAATGCTAAGGCTAAACACATAACACAGGTTTGCTCTGACATTTGGAGAGCTTACAATGAATGTACTTTGCTTCAGAGCTATTGACAGTTGGAGATTAAGGTAGTAGTAATTCTTTATCCCGGGAGTGTGAAGGACAACAGTTAACACATCAAGAGTTGGAGGCAGCAACAGCAATGAGCCAGGGAGTCAAAGAGCTTTTAATTTTTCAGGAAAGTAAAACCCAGCCATGAGAACTGCTTCTGAAAGCAACTTCTGAGATAGGCACAGAAACACACCCAGCCTCGGGCAGCTTTTGAGCTTTATGATGAGAATATTGGTTAATAGAGATGCTCGAGTGAATGCCAGGTTGGACACAGGGGCTTGGAGCAACCTGCTCTAGTGGAAGGTGTCCCTGCCTGTGGCAGGGGTTGAAACTTGATGAGCTTTAAGATCCCTTCCAACCCAAACCACTGGAGCCTGAGCACATGTTTAGCAGCCGAGTGGCTCTTCTGGGGTCTCCTATCTCTGCTTTTATTCCTTTAGTACGCTCATACATCACACAGTTATTCTGCTGCTGCTGCAAGTCCCTCTGTTTCTGATGAGGTTTATACATACATAGAACGTGCTATTAATCATAACCTAAAACCGGAAGATAAAAATGCTTGGATGAATTTTGATTATGGGATTAAGCAGTGCCAGGGGAAAGCAGCCCCGCGATCCCGGGCAGCACGCGGCGGCTTTCAGCACTGTGTACACACCGCTTAGCCCCTGCTTATTTATTTCACAGCTCAACAGCTGGATTCCCTTAGAAATTAATCACCTCTGTCATTAAATCAGGTCTTTCAGAGTTAAGCTTTACAAATCTTTTCTCCTCTTTCTTTAAAAAACGACAATATTGATAAATGGATTGTTTCCTGAGTACGTAGTGCCATTAACAGTGCTGTGAGCTCCACCAGGAGAAACGCCTCTGTCCTCACCAAGTGGAAAACATGAAGTTTTGCTCTAATTCAAGGAACTTCAGGAGCTGGGAGTGGGGTGCAAGGATGCCACCTCTGCCCTGTGCTGGGATGCTGGTGGCAGCGCTGCCCGGGGGGGTCTCGCCTGCATCGCCAGCGCTCAGCGCGCTCTAGGTCGGGTAGATGAAATCATAAATTTATAATACAACATTACTTCAATTTTCCTCTTCATTTACTGCTGCAGTGCCCAGCTCTGCTCTAACGAGTCAAAGCCTGAGCCGCGCGGGGGAAATTGCCTGGCTGAATATCAATAGCGCATTAACACCATGCCCATGTGGATGCTTCATCAAGCCAAATCATGGCCATGCTGACCTACCCACCATTCCCATTAGATGCCATTCTCATCCTGCACTGGGCACTGAGCAGTTCATTCGTTTCAGTAGTCCTGGGGAATGATCAATCTCTCTAATTATCCCTCGTTGCTACACCAAAACCCCAAGTTTTTCCTGGATTACCTCCTCCAAAGCGAGACCCTCCTGCCTGTGGAAGCAGAAACTCCAACCAACAATCAAACCTGCTTTCGAAGCACCACTTCCACCCAGCTCCTGCCTCTGACCCCAGCAGCAGCAGGTCAAACGCACCCACCCTGCAGGCTGGGTGACCTTCAGCCCATCACGCTCTTGGTGGGCAAGGACACTAGAAAGGCAGAACATCTGAGCTGGACTCCTGACTCCCTTCATCCCATCGTTCCAAAGCTGACTTATCCCCTACTCCATGGGATAAAAGAGCAAAGCTGAGGCTGCATTTGCCGTGGTGGTTGCAGGGGGTGCTGCTGTGGGATCCCCGGGGTCATTGAGCTGTGCCAGCCCCCAGGAATCCTGTGCTAAAGAAGGGGTCCCCATCCCAAATCTTGCCTCAGAGGCAGCTGCTACTCTACTAAACACAGTCTGATGGAAAAAAGGAATGACTTTCTTTGAAGGGCACAAGCTTCTTTTATGCATGAGTTCAGCCTACCTAGACTGAGCGTGTGCAGTAACGCAGAGCCTGCTCTGCCTTGAGCAGTGATAGAAGGAGCCTGGTAGAGACCTGAAATCTGGTGTTCATACAGACGCTGTTTTGGCTGTCTGGGAGTGTAAGCTTTATGTGCTGAGTGCTCCTGGCCCTGGGGGGGTTTGCAAGTTAAAAAGAGCCCAACTTTAATATTAAACACCAGCAGGTCTAAGATGCCCATCACCAGAAGAAGTGAGTCCTGTGGTGCCCCAGCTCACACGGAGCAGTGCTTCAGTTACCTCCAGAGCTGAACCACATAGGGGCAGCTGCGATGTCCCACAGGGAGCTGCTTCGGATGGGAGGAGAGATAGAGACAATCTCCTATTAATGTTGCTCCTCTGTTGCTTTCTTCTTTTCTCTCTTTTTCCCAAGTTTTCAGTCCTGAATGGAGCTGTGGGGCAATGCAGTGACACCTTCACACCCCTGGGTGACAGGGCTTCTGGTTGGCACGCAGGACCAGAGGTGATGCTGCTGGGCACATGGCAAGCTCCTTGACCACCAAACATCTCCCACTGAGCTGCAGATGTGTGTGTCACCTGTGAGGGAGGACACGGGCCTCTTCACGAGCACCCCTGGGGCTAGGGAGCAGCTCTTCAGGCCGGGTGGGCTGCCAGGGAGAGAGATGCTGGAACTGAACCCACTCTGTCCCGCTCTTCATGCAGAGTGGTTAATGGATGTCCCTGATCTCCCGAGACCGTGCGTGTCCCATGCGCAGACAGAGTCCGAGACAGCCCAGAAGCAGCCCTGGCAAAAGGCTGAGCCTGCCCACGCTCTCCGAGTCAGAAAATCCTTTCAGAAGAACACTTTAATTTTGTTCCAATCAACCAAATCATCACAGAAGCGGCTGCCTACGCACCTTTAGACCCCGGCTGCTGCAGGCTCCTCGGGGAGGCTGTGATTAATGAAAAAGACCAACTTCCTTAATAGCTTCGGAGGGAGCCGCTCCCCGCTCTTTCCTTCGGGCTGTCTCGTGTGTTCGTTCCTGCCATTCCCTCCTCTGCCCATGAGCAGCATCTGGAGAAGGTGACCTTGAACAAAGGCTTCTGGAAACAGGTAGAGAAATCCTCTAAGAGCAGCCCCGGTCGCTCTGTTTCAGTCCAGCAAAGCATCTAAAAGGAGGAATGGGGTAGGGCTGGCACCAGCCTCCTGGGATCTGTGGCTACTGTAGACGCTGCCTCCGGTGGGACATTACTTTGTACATCTCATCACTTCATGGGTTAATTACCTGTGGGGAGGGGGCCCTACTTTGAGTAGCTTCAGGGCTTGAGAAGGAGCAATTCAGGTTTCCCACTGAGCTGCTGCCCATCATCCCCCTTCCCAGCACTTGGAGGCAGCCTTTGAAAACGGGGCTTTATAATGGCCATCCAGACAGCTTTGCTCTCCTGTGTTGTGATTTCCTTGTTCAGCACTTAATTATTTAACACGGTGCCACTGTAGCAAAGCAGGAACTTGGAAGATGAAAAAACACAGCTTGAGCAGATAATGAAGCATCTGGCCTTCAACATGAATCAATCATTAATTCTGAGCAAGTCACCCTGATTTGCAATCTAACTAGAGCACGTTGTGAGACCGGCCAGAGCAGAGCTGGTTGGGGTGACCTGACCCAACCCACTTCAATGGGACAGGGATTTGCCAACGGGTACCCACAACGTATCTGTACCAGATGCAGATCTGCTTGCTGAGGGCTTCTTCCCTTACTTCTTATGGCTTCAAATGATCTTTTTCCAGCGAGGCATCCTGGTGGGAATCACTCACACCACACCTAAAGGCTGAATTTTCCCTTCAGGTCACTGGGGTGGACTTTGGCTCCATTCACTCCTTGCCCGGCTGTGGAGAGAAGGGTTGAGGCTGCTCTGCCCATGGGGATTGGATGAGGGATCCTGCCCTGGGTCTGTCTGCCCAGGGTGACCTGGGCTCTCTCCTCCACCACTTCCACCACCCCAAACCTCAGGCACCGCGAGTGGTAAAGAGAAACAAGAGCAATGAAGTGCCTATGCTCAAGCACCCAGGGAACATACTGGTAACCAAACCACAGACTGACTAGGACCAGGTAAATATTTTAACCATAAAATGCTATTTCCAAACACGATGGGGCAGGGTGATGGTGGAGTGTGGGGACAGACAAATAGATGATCAGTGGAAATAACTGAATCACACATCCCTGAAGTGGATCGTTCCAGCCACGTGAACAGAAGCACTATTAATTCAGAGATAAAGCAAACATGGCAGGGAAGATTTCCCTATCAAATCAAGCAGGGCCCTGAAATCAGATGTCTCAATGTAACAGCCTGATCCTCCTAGAACAGTCCTCTGATGCAATGCTCGCTACAGGAGCTTTGGAGTCCTCCAGCATCTCAGCCAGCCAGTGGACCTGCTTGGCAGAGCTCAGGACAACCAAGCACCAGCTTTCAAGGCTGGTTTTTATGCTCAGGTTTCTGGGATCATCTAAACCCAGGACAGAAAACTCAAAAGCATCTACATACGAGGGACACCAGCCTGGGAAAGACTCATTTCTGCCTGGGAACAGCTCCGCATGCCCTCTTGTTCATGCATGCCTTATGGGCATAGAGGGTGACAACTGAGGGAAAGTCCAGTGATACAAATAGAGCAGGAGGTTGAAAATACATGGGGTTGTATGAAAATACACTGGCAATGGATGAGCAGCATTTTGGCTTAGCAAATCTGAGGAGAGATTACCAAGAGGTTGTCACGTTATACAGAAAGAAGAACTATCTAGGCAGAAACAAATGAGAACCAATTATAACTAAATAGACCTCGTGCACAAATAGAATTTTGCCATTAAATATCATTTATCCCATTTAATTAGTATTTTCTGGACACAATACTCTGGATTAAAATACCATTCCATTGCCTTGAAACTTGTAATTACTGTTGTGCCCTGCACTGTTGTGCTCCTCCCTGCTCTCCCCATCCTGCAGGCCATTGAGGAGCCGGCAACATTTTCAATTATCTATGCTGAGCTGTCAGAGATACCTTTAAAAGAAGGGGAATAATGTGTGACTCGATTCCTCTAAAAAAGGGGAGAGATCATTTTTAGTCAGAATGAACACCCTGTGTCTTTCATCATTCTATTTTTTGCGAGGAAGAGTAAAACAGCCTCTTTAAAACATCCATTTAAATGCAAATTTCTGTATTCCAGGAGGGCGGGGGGAGTTAATCATTTACCACAGACAGGATCATTCTCCCCATTCCACCCCTGCTGAAGTTCTAGACCCGCACCCACGTAGGTGCAGGGATTTGCTCATCCCTGTGGCTTAAGGGTTCGGAAAGCAGGGAGAGACACAACAGAGGAGCCGCTGGCTCCGGGAGACGTGTGGTGGCCACGGCACTTACCCAACATTCCCATCCCTAGCATAAACGCGTCCATGGTATACGGTAATCCACGTGCCCTTCCTCTCGTCCCTGGTGGAAACATCACTTCTTTAGGTTGTGCTTTCTTACATTCTACCTATTGAGCAGAAACATGTACAAATGAGATGCAAATGAATTCCATGTAAATGTCAAATGCAGAACTGATCTACTTAAGGGGGTGGGGGGGAGGTTTATTTTTAGCATCTGCCTCCCCACACCGCCTCCCCCTCTAAGGTGAACTTTAAGAATAGCGTAAACGGATTTAAAAGAGCAAACGTGTATGTCTCTTTAAACACACAGAGCAAAACCCCACTGGAAAGATGACAGAACTGCTGATTTAAGAAGTTCCTGAAAGGAAAACCTGGGCTGCGTTCCCTCTCAATGGTACTCGTGGGAGTGGAATGAATGGAGGGAGGTCTCCAGCACAGCTCTATTGCAATCGATAACAGAAAATGACTCTCAGTGATCATTACAAAAAGCTCCTTTTAAAATAGGAATAAAGAATCGATATTTCTACCCAGCAGAAAATTTCTGTAAACCCTATTAATAAATGCTCCGCATTCTTTCACTTCCACTTACTCCTGCTGCCTTCTGAAGTTGCTTAACGCCACTCAAAGCACATTGTGAGTCTCCACCAACGCCAGGAGCCCAGGGCCCAGCAACCCCACCAGGTCATGGTTCCCAGCCTCTCCTTGGATAGGAAAAGGGAGAAATAAAGCGCTTTCCCATGTCTTCCAGCCCCGGCACTGCCAGGTTGCCCCCTCAAGCAGACTGCCCCTGTGCCAGTAAGCTGCTTTGGAACTAATCAGCTATCGAACCCATCTCTATGGCTCTACACCTTGAGCTGAGCAGCAGGAAAACGTGCAGAGACACAGCGCAGCCCTGCACGGGATGCAGGGAATCTCCCAGCTGCTGCCTGCCCCACCTGCATGGTTGGCACAATGAGAATTGCTGGTCTGAGGTTAAGGGTCTTAGGCTGAATCCACAGCTTTCAGCTTTATGCCTCTAACTTTGTTCTTCAACCAGTTCCTCAACCCTATTTGCACATTTAGGAACCCCCCAGACCTTGCCTGGTCAGACCAGAGTGGGAGCAGAGCGGGATCACCACCAGGCTGCAGGCAGGGGCTCGGGAATGGGGCTGCTCTCTGTGGAGGACAAGGAGCGTCGGCTCCATGTCTTCGTATCACCTGCATCACTCTCACAAGCAGGCAACCACCTCAGGCAAAGCCGGGATGCAGGATAATGGGGCTGAATGTCTCGGTGCCTAATAGCCCGATCAGTGACTGTGTGTTCATTGTCTTATGAAAACCAACCGCCTGTTCCTAGGCAACCTGATCAGTGGAAATTCCAGGTTTATACAATTTTCATTTAGGTAACATAAAGGTTAACTGCCTGTAATGGGAGGATTTTAAACAAAACCACCTACTCCTCCCTTCCCGCTGCAGATCTCCACAGACCGTATTTACTTTACTTGCTTGCAACACTTCCTGAAGCTACAATGCTCAGACACTGCCAATGCTGTCAAAACACGCTCTTCTTGCATACCAGCTGCCCCAACCCAGTGAAGTTTGAAGCAAAATTCTTCTGGAGTTCATCTTTTGCTACTTCTCTGCCAGGAAGCATTTGGGTCCTTGCAGAAGGCAGCGGGATAAGAGCAGAGAGGGACAAGGGTTTCCTCTGTCTCCTCTAGTGCTGTTGGGGGAGCAAGACCTCCAGGAGAGAAACACCCCAGGAAGGGCTGTGGTGAGGACCAGTGCGTCCTCCTGGCAGGGCTACCAACCTGCGTACCACCCCTGTCCCCTGCACACACACACACACACATGTACTGTGTACTCCTGCAGACATGTGGCAGTGCAGACACATTAGTGTGCAATGGAGAGAGCCACACGGTGCCCCACAAGGTTCCCAAGCCCTGATACTAAGAGAAATTAAAGGAAAGAGAAAACTTCCCATCGGTGATGGATGTGGAGGTGCTGCTGTCAGAGCGGGGATGGGGACAAGGACAGCATGGGATATGTGTGCCCAGCACCCAGCTCCATCACTGCCCTACAGGGATGAAGCCTTCAGAGCTTCCCAGGGAGCCTTAAGCCTGAGCTTTGATGGCAGGTTTCATTCAGCCTCATAGCGCTGTGTGGCTCCCCCAAAACCTTGATGCTCCCAGAAAGCCCCACAGCCCAAAGCTACCTCCCCTCTCCATCAGAACTAGGACGCAGCAAGCTCAAACACTGAGCCCCGGCACCAGCCTTCCCTCACCAGCACAACACCCTCTCAAGCTGTCCTTTGCTTATTTGTGATCAGAGGGTCATTTAACAGGAGTAGCCCATCTAATTTCCCCAGGCAGATGCCCGGAGGGGAGCACCACAAGTGTGTCATTTCATTTCACACCCGCATCTCTGTGGGTCCGCCACCACTCGGAACGCGGCGGCGGCGGCATTGGTTACGCCTCCAGCCGCCAA